CTACGGATCGAATCCTGGCTACCTATAGACCTACGACAGACCTATCTACCACTGGCGGTTCTACAGGTCGCAGGTTCAACTCTTCGAGTTGACGCAGGTATTGTACACAGGTAAGTTGGGGAACTAGGGATCGAGCCCTGGGATCTGCCTCAGCTACCACGAATTGGTGAATACCGTTTCATTTAGTCTAAAACTAGATTAGAAAAGATCAGAGAGGATAAGATTTGTGAGGACTGAGCCCTCATGGGGCCCTTACAGACGTGCAACTGTTCTGGGCTGTGGTCCCCAAGAAGCATTGTGCCTGCCCTAAGTGAAGGCGGCCCTGAATATCCACGTGAGGCCTACTTTCGACATTTTCCACATGTGGGGTATCCGAGAGTTGCAGCACGCCAGTTGGTTACTGAGCAACGTGAGCCTTCAGAGGCTCCTCCCATAAGCAAGAGCTGCACTGTACAGTTGAGCCCAGGGCCCAGGCAGTTGTGCCCTGGGCACAGGCTGTGGGAGACCGACACATCACGGCCTGGCCGCGGGCCAATGAGAATGCAGCATTGTCGTCACACACGCACCGCGAGCCAATGAGAATGCGGCAAACACTTGGAGCCTGGAGGGCTGCCTGGATGCGCCCAACTGTAAAGGGCCCAGGCCTGTAACAGCAAAGGTGGGCCTGGGCGCAGACACTGGGGCCCGACTGGAAGCTAATGGAAACACGTCCAGCCAGGCCCACGCAGCTGAACACAGGGCCGCACTTTCCATAAAGGAAAGTGCCCTTCCCAGGCAGAGTTCTGGCCTGAGCTGGCAATGCGGCCACGCTGCTGCTATGCCACGCGAAGCTGTGCTAAGCAGGCAGGCCAGGGCACACGCGGGCGCACCGCGGCCATAGCCGGGCGGAGCGTGCAGTAGCGGGTGATGGCGATGGTGGTCTTTGGGTAGGAGGCGCATGCAGAGGTTAGTCAAGGTGGGATGGGGAGAAGAGAGAACGTACCTGGTGTATGCTGGCGGTCTGCATTGGTGTTGACATCATGTACGTTGGTCTTCAACTTCGAAGCGATCCTGTTGCATGAATGTAGATAGATAGATAGGCTGATTTGTGTAGGCTGGGCGCTGGGCGCTAGACAGTAGGAGCGACATTGGATACTGTGTTGGTGTGGCAAGAGAGCGTGAGCATTGACATTTGAGTTAATTGTATTGCTCTTATTTGGATGGTATCTTGGCGCATTGTGCTCTCTGCTTGGTACATGACTATCTGGACTTCAGTGTGATTTTGCAATTTGGATTTCTATCTATCGCTCTCGCTCATATTCCTTGCAATTTGGTATCAGAGCTGGTTCAATATGGCCATTACCGGCGCTGGCGACTTTGTTACTTGGTGCGCTCACGAAGCTTCTATGCGGTGAGGGTACATTGGCGCTGGCTTGTTTGGGCGACTCCCGAGTAGGGGGTAGTGTCGTCGGAAGGCTGTGGCAACAGTGTGGGAGTTGTGGCGACAACGTGTATGTGGGATGATGAGAGCATGCTGACATGGCATTTTGGCTGAGGTCGCACTCCATTGCATTGTGTGTGGTACCGAGGCCATGACCGGTCATAAAAATGCACGTCGGCTCACTTGGTGATAAATCTGTGGTTGGGGGCAGATATCTTCAGGTACATTGTTCCCTTACTTAATCTTCCTATCAGCAATCTCTTCTTACCGTGAGGAAGTGAGTTCGACTTGAGAGTCCTCTTCTTGGTCAGGAGTCGTGAGCGCTCTACCTTGAGAGTCGACAATCTTCCTGGTGGCGCATCTGGCAAGAGAGGGTGGTTCCTCTTAAGTGCCCTGGACGAAGCGCGAGGCGCGGTCACCATGCTAGACCACGGGAGTAGTGCACTCAGGCCATGCTGCATTGTCCTTTGAGCTCTTCGCTGCCGTGTAGAGGGAACGTGGAGTGACCAGTCCTATGCGAGACGTGTTCCAGACCGTCTATAAAGAACCTCTGGTGGGATCTGATATTTGGTTGTGATCGTCATCCTGTCTGTGATGTTAAATAATTCCTGAGGACTTCCGGGGCCATCCTTAAATTGCCTCTTGATCAGCCAGATCATCGGATGTGAGGCTCGTTGCACGAGAGGATAAACAACGGGCAGAACTGGTCATAAGCGGATTCCTGAGAATAGGGCTGGGTCGATATGCACACCTTAGACACCGCTGCTTGGTGATGCAAATCAGGATCGTCGGATACAGGGGAAGGGAAGGTTCCAATTGGTGCTCGTACACAAACACAATTATTCCCATTTCAGCATACATCTGTGCAAGTGATTTATTTTCATTTTGATTAGTTGAGGTGTGATCGACTGCTAACGCCTGACAAACAACATTAGAATAGAACTGCAGTAGTCTATCATTGCCATTTCTTTGCTATTGTACGAGAACTGATTAAAGTAGGAAGGGATCATTTGTTGACACCACCTGATTGGTAGCCTGGTTGACTTGCCGAATATTTATTTATTTTATTTTATGTTTTCAACTCGATCAAACATATGATCTGGTATGCCCCAGCAAGGGCGCTAGTGCAAACTGTGATCTCCTTAGCTGATGAGTGGTACAGATAGTGGGGAAGGGACGGCTGACGATAGGATATGGACACACAGGGATACACAGAGGATTCCGGTAGCGTTCGGAGTTCTGGTACCGGGGGACGAGAGAAGGTTCTGGGCCGAAGCAACGGCCCAACGTTTGCAGACTGCTAGGGAGGCAACATCAGCTGCGGAACAAGTGTTAGCGGCAGCAGCAGCTAGCGCAGTAGCAATGGCTACATCTGTAGAGACCGCTCAAGGTCATCTGACGCCAGGAACCTTCGCTATGTCTTTTGTCTCATCCAGTGGGACAAGTGCAGGGCAATCCACGAGTCGGATGGCAGGCTCGCAGTACAGCCAGCCACCTCCACTTACTAAAGAGGGGTTGGAACTCCAGCAAGTACAGCTACTCTGTTTATAGCTAGAGAAGCAACTCAGGGATGCTAATGACAAACAGGATAAAATTAAAACTCGAAAAGCTAGACTGGAGAGCAGAGCGGTAGACAAGGCTGCATTAGAAGGGTCAGATGATTCAATCCTTGATTATGCAGGAAGATCATCCAGGCGAATATGTTGATAACCGACTGGATGAAATCCAGTCAACCCTTGACCAGATACTGACGATCGTGCAGGGAAGGGGAGGACCACTGCCATCCATACCTAGCGCGCCTAGTTTTTGGCAACAAGCGGCTTTTCCATCGCTAGTTCTATTACCGGCGATGACAGGCCCTTTCGTTCCACAGTTTGGTATCATAACAGGTGGTACATCAGCAACAACAACACAAACTGTTGCTTCTTCATCCTCAAGTCCAGGTGCCGCAGTTGCAGGGCAGCAGCCTGTCCAGCAACCAGGTCAGCAATTCGGACAGACTGGGCCACAACAACCTTGGTACTCAGAGACCCCAATGAAACCCCTAACTGTCTCCATAACTCCATAGGAGACAAGAAGGATGAGGCCCTCGCCACTTGGTTGAGGACGGTTCCATTGTGGGTGCCGGCCAAGTGTACTCTCCGAGAGGAAGAGGTGATCACTGCGGCATTTTACTTAGAAGGATCGACAATGAGATGGCTGAATGGGCACATTGCGATAAAGGGATTCGTCAAGCGAATGAACGACTCGGCGCATACCCAGACCCTAGAAAGCTTTATGGACTTAGTGGAGGCACGATGGCACAACCCGCAGCAGGCTCAAGAAGCCACTGATGTGTTGGCCCGTCTTGATACGAGGAAGTACAAGACCGTTCGAAAACTCACTAGTGCCGTAAAGAAATTGGTGGTAGTTCCGGGAGTTCGCTATGATCCCCAAGTCCTCCTAACCATGTGTCTTGAGATGTCTTCCCACATACAGGAAGAATTTGATGGTTAGAGGATAGTGCAAAGGATGGCAACCTCGCCGCAATTACAAAAGGAAAGGTTGTCGGTCGCGGGAAAGGCGGCCAGCAAAAGAGCCAGGAGCAAGTCTAGAACTCAAACAAGACTCCGACTTGGGTGAGGGCTGGCCTGGATCAAGATGTCCGGAACAACATATATTCGCAAGGGGCTTGCATCAACTATGGCGGGTACGACCATCAGCAGTTCAAATGCAAGAATGTGAAGGCCTCTCAAAAGATACCCCGAAAGGTGGTTTTGACTTCCGCCCAGGGAGGAGCTTCTACGAGCTCCACCTCGAGAAACACATCTAGCCTGCAGAAGTTGTAGCTGCTTCTACTCATGCTGAAGTGGTTGACGTACCCTCACCATTTCAGGAATTGGCCGAAGCTATTGACTAATTAGTCACCTCACAGACACATCTTGACCAAGTGACACTCTGTTTGTTGGATGTGTCCGAAGCCTTAGAAGATTTAAAAAACGAGTGGTCCACGAGGGACGCTCGTGAGTCTTGGGTGGCTCTGTCAAGAGGTCCCAGGTACGGTCTATACGAGTCTGTGGTGATAGCTTTTGGTGTTTGCAATGCGCTGGGTACATTCCAGCATGCCATGAACAGGGTGTTTCATGACTACGTGGATACGTTTGTCGTTGTGTACCTCGACAATATTTCATCTTTAGTAGAATAGTCGAGGAGCATGCCCAACATGTAGAAATTGCGCTTTCACTCCTCCGACAACACAAGTATAAGGTTAACTGAGAGAAATGCGAGTTCGGTTGCTCTAAAATCTTATACTTGGGTCGTGAGATATCCGCGGAAGTGATTAGGCCTGAAGATGCAAAAGTGGCTAGTATACGTGACTGGCCACGACCTCAGTCTGTGACCGAGGTTAGATCTTTCTTAGGGATGACAGGCTACTACAACAACTTCGTGAAGAACTATAGCACGATGGGCACCCCTTTGACTGATTTGACACGCCTTGACACACCATGGGAATGGATAGACGAATGCCAGGCAACCTTCAAACAGTTGAAGTATGCTCTCATGCATCATGAGGTTCCCATGGTCCCCGATCCGGAGAGGCCATTCGTCGTGACCACCGATGCAAGCCAATATGGCATAGGCGCAGTGTCGGCTCAACAGGAAGGGAAGAAGTTGAAGCCGATCGAGTACATGAGTAAGAAGATGCCATCCAAGAAGTTGGCAAAGTCCACCTATGAGAGGGAACTCTACGCCCTTGACAAAGCCCTTGTCCACTGGAGGCATTATCTGCTTCGTAGGTTCTTGTATTTGAGAACCGACCATCAGACACTCAAGTGGATCAAGACACAGCCTGTTCTCTCCGATGCACTCAAATGCTGGATTGAAGTCATAGATCAATATCACTTCAAGTTCGACTATGTGAAGGGAGAATACTACAGGGTTGCTGATGCGCTGTCACGTAGGGCAGACTGTTTAGGTGCGCTAATTACTGAGTTTGGCCTATTTGACGAAGTAACTCGATCGATGGTGGATGCCTACAAGGAAGATCCCGTCATGATGGACATCATACGCAGACTAGAGGCTCAGGACAAGGCCGCATCAGACGAGTTTGTGATGGTGGATGGGTTACTCTTTCTTGAAAAGACAGAGTTCAAAAGGTTGTGTTCCTTCTAGTGAGATTCTGCATAGTTTATTTTTAGGCAAGTGTCATGACACGACTGGTCTCTTCAGCTACAAAAAGACTAGTGCTAATTTAGTGCAGCGTTTCTGGTGGCCTAGTATGCTTGACGATGCAAAGAAGTACGCTCAGACTTGTCAAGTCTGTCAGTGGGATAAGCCGCGAACTCAAGCCCTGCTTGGGTTATTGAAGCGCTTGCCCATTCCTGCTGGTCCGGGACAGAGTCTCCATGGACTTCATGGAAACCGTTGTAACCAGCAAGAGTGGCAAGAGGCACGTATTGGTCATAGTAGATCGGTTCACTAAATATGTTAGACTAATCCCTATGCCGGAGATGGCCAAGACTGAGCACGTCATCAAGTTATTTATGGATAACTGGGTGCATGACTTTGGACTGCCCAAGACCATTGTTAGTGACAGAGATGTCTGATTCACCAGCGAGATGTGGAAAAAGGGTGCTGAACAAATGAGCAGTCAAGCCCAAATGACTTCGGGGAATTGTCCCGAAACCAACGGCCAAGGGGAACAGATGAACTGCGTGGTACATCATCTATTGAGGCATTACATCAAGTCCAGCCAGGATCACTGGGATGAGAGGTTGCCTCTCATTGCCAGTCTCTACAATAACGTTGTTTACAGTCCGAATGAGCTGCATTTGGGTTGGAAGCCTAGATCTGCACTAGACTTCCTCCTTCCTGAAAATAGACCAACTGGAACTCCTGGAACCATAGTGAAGGGGAAAGCACCTGCGTAGAAGCATCTCAGCGGACTTTCGAATCTAAGGGGGATGGAATGCGATGACTGAGCCCTCACGGGGCCCTTACAGACATGGAAGTGTTCTGGGATGTGGCCCCCAGCAAGCATTGTGCCCGCCCTAAGTGAAGGCGCGCCTGAATATCCACGTGAGGCCTACTTTCGACATTTTCCATATGTGGGGTATCAGACAGTTGCAGCACGCCAGTTGCTTACTGAGCAACGTGAGCCTTCAAAGGCTCTTTTCAGAAGCAAGAGCTGCGCTGTACAGTTGAACCCAGGGCCCAGGCGGTTGCGCCCTGGGCACAGGCTATGGGAGGCTGACACGTCATGGACTGGCCGCGGGCCAATGAGAATGCAGCATTGTCGTCACACATGCACCGCGAGCCAATGAGAATGCGGCAAACACTTGGAGCCTGGAGGGCTGCCTGGATGCGCCCAACTGTGAAGGGCCCAGGCCTGTAACAGCAAAGGTGGGCCTGGGCGCAGACACTGGGGCCCGACCGGAAGCTACTGGAAACTCGTCCAGCCAGGCCCAAGCAGCCGAACACAGGGCCGCACTTTCCATAAAGGAAAGTGCCCTGCCCGGGCAGAGGCATTCTGGCCTGAGCAGGCAATGCGGCCACGTTGCTGCTACACCATGCGAAGCTGCGCTAAGCAGGCAGGCGAGGGTGCACACGGGCAAGCAGGCAGGCCAGGGTGCACACAGGCGCAAGAGGTGATAGGGCGCTGCGGTGGCAGTGGGCACATGACAGCCATAGCCGGGCCGGGCGTGCGGTAGCAGGTGATGGCAGTGGTGGTCTTCGGGTAGGAGGCGCATGCAGAGGGGAGTCACGGTGGGATGAGGGGAGAAGAGAGAACGTACCCATTGTATGCTGGCAGTCTGCATTGGTGTTGACATCACGTACATTGGTCGTCTACGTCGAAGCGACCCTGTTACATGAACGTAGATAGGATAGATAGGCTGAGTTGTGTAGGCTGGCCGCTAAGCGCCAGACAGTAGGAGCGACATTGGATACTGTGTTGGTGTGGCCAGAGAGCGCTGGCATTGACATTTGAGTTCATTGTATTGCTCTTATTTGGATGGTATCTTGGTGCATTGTGCTCTCTGCTTGGTACATGACTATCTGGACTTCAGCGTGATTTTGCAATTTGGATTTCTATGTATTGCTCTCGCTCATATTCCTTGCAGATTAGATTAGATCCCTACACTTGTAAAAATCGCTAATGTCAGAATTCTGAAATCCGGGCCGTCTTTGGACCTACCGGCCCGACGGCCCGGATTGGGCCTCGATCTTAGATCTTTAAGATCGCGCGGCGATCCAGGCCGTTCGCGGTTGCACCTGCCCGACGGCCCAGATCGCTCCGCGATCTTAAAGTTTTAAGATCGCGGGCGAATCCGGGCCGTTTACGGCCCGGATTGCCGCGGTGCCTTGGGGAGTTCGGTCCGAAAGGACCGTTGGCGGGCGGGCGGGAAAACTACGGCCCTACGCGACGCGACCTACCTACTCGACGTGACCTACGCTACGGGACGCGACCTACCTACGCTACGCGACCTATCTACTCGACGCGACCTACGCTACGCGACGCGACCTACCTACGCAACGACTGATCTTGGATATGTGCTTTTCTCTCTCTCTCTCTCTCTCTCTCTCTCTCTCTCTCTCTCTCTCTCTCTCTCTCTCTCTCTCTCTCTCT